CACCTGGTGTGCCGAAGTGCCATCGAAGGTAACCATCAGGGAAGCCCATCTGTATGGCTCTAGTCTTCACGGCAGTCCCCTGCTGGCCTAACTGGGGGCAGGGAGCTTCACCCCAGGAGCTACAGGCATGGGCCCTGGGGCCATGGTGGGGACCCTGATTTATTCACTGGATCCATTTACATCCTAGGTGAACAAGAGCAGCGCATGGACCTGAGTCACCCAGTGCATGCGGACAACTGTGTCCTGGATCCCGACACTGGTGAATGCTGGCGGGAGCCCCCAGCCTACACCTATCGAGACTATAGGTGGGTAGCCTCTCCAGGGACTGGGAGGTAGGCACACAAGGCCCAAAGGCTGTCTGTATTGCCAGGCCTGGGTCTGGGTTGGGGAGGGGGGTCTCACTGCCTCCTGTCTTCTCTACTTTCCAGTGGACTCCTCTACCTCAATGATGACTTCAAAGGAGGCGACCTGTTCTTCACACAGCCCAACGCCCTCACTGTTACGGTAGGGGGTTGGGCCCAGCTGCCGGGTCAGGATTCAAAACAGAAGTTCTCCAAAGGCAAATGCAGGGAAATGGCCAGGGCCACCTTAACCCTGTCCCTCCCCGCCCTTCTAGTCCTGCTGGCCACTGGACCGCATTCAGGGCTTTCTGCAGAGGTGGACTGAGCCTCACAGAAGATCTCTAAATGTCCCCCACCCGCCTTCCTAGTTTGCCTTACCTCCTAAGGGTGGCTGAGCATAGGTATGGGATACATACTTGTAGTCCCAGCTGTTGAGGAAGCTAAGGTTGGAGGACCCCCAAACCCCAGGAGTTCAAGGTCAGCCTGGACAATGTATCAAGACACCTTCTAGAAACAAAAGCAACCCCGGGCCAGTGAGGTAGCACAGTGGGAAAGGTGCTCACCCCTAAGCCCGGGCGACAACCTGAGTTTGGTCTCCAGAACCAATGCGGTGGCAGGAGAGAACCAGTTTCCACAAGTTGCCCTCTGACCTCCACACCACACTGCACCCTTCACCCCCACCTCCAAGAAAAGTAATAAAAACTCAGAACAAAAACAGAACAAGGTGGGTGGGGCTCAAGAGATGGCTCAGTGGCTAAGAGAACAGGGCTCTTCTTGCAGAGGAGCGGGTGTGGGTCCCAGCATCCACATGGTGGCTCACAACCACCTCTAACGATAGTTTGGGGGATCTGACACCCTCTCTGGCCTCCCATGACCGGGCAGCAGTGGAGCTAGCTATTAGTACAGGCACAGACAGGGCCACTGGACTAGACTTCAGATTGGGGTTCTTAACACTTTGGAAATTCACTTTCCTAACTAAGGGTGACAGTAACAGTACCCATTATTGTTGACATTGTTGTTGTTGTTGTTATTATTAACTGTAAACAGGGTCTTGCTACATAGCCCACATTAGCCTTGAATTGACTATATAGCTAGCCCTGGCTGCTCTTGAATTTACAGCAATCCTCCTGTTGTGGCCTTCTGGGTGCTGAGATTATAGACATGCACTACCCCAAGTGACTGACTTTTGGTTTGGGAGATAAGGTCCCATTGTGTAGCCCTGGCTGGCCTGGAACTCACACGTAGATCAGGCTGGCTGTGAACCACAGAGATCTGCCTGTTTCAGCTTCTCAAGAGCTATGCCACCTTGCCTGGCTTTGCACCCACATAATTTGTGGAGTGCAGATGTGTGCATGCCACAGTGCACAAGTGGGGATCAGAGCACACCATCAGGTGTCATCCTTACCCCGTCTCTCCCTCACATCTGGGTGTGGCGGTGTTGGGATTACAGACTTGAGCTCCCTCACCTGGCTTGTATGTGGGGACCGGGGATCTGAACTCGGATCCTTACACTTGCACGGCAACTACTTTACCCACTAAGCCATCTTCCCAGCACCATGAGAAGTAGTTTTTAAAAATGTTGCTTTACTTTACGTGGGCATCTGTGTGTGCATGTGCAAGGGGTGGGCGGAGGGCAGGGTGCATGCCACACACAGAGGACAACTTGTAGGAGTTGGTTCTCTGCTTCCACCCTGTGGAAGTTCTAAGGACTGAACTCAGGTTGTTGGGATTGGTGGCACCTTTACCCCGAGCCATCTCTCTGACCCGATAAAAAGTAATTTACAGCTGGGCGGTGGTGGTGCACACCTTAATCCCAGCACTCAGGAGGCAGAGGCAGGCAGATCTCTGTGAGTTCGAGGCCAGCCTGGTCTCCAAAGCGAGTTCCAGGAAAGGCGCAAAGCTACACAGAGAAACCCTGTCTTGAAAAAAAAAAAAAAAAAGTAATTTATAGAATATGCTTAAAAGAACGTAAAAGAACGAGCCAATGCCTTGTATTATTAAACAGTTAGTGAATGTTAGGTGTCCTTATTGTCCTTGGTCATGGAGATTTCTACACCTGGGCCTAGAAATGGGCAAGAAGGGGGCAGGCATGGCAGTACACACCTGTGACCTGTCATAGGGGAGCTGAGGCAGGAGTTCCAGGCCAGCACAGAGGCCTAAGCAGAGAGGAGCAACTGTCTTCTGTGTACTCAGGTACAGTCTAGGATTTCCTTAGGGTGGAAAGGCGTCGAAGGGCCTCGTCACCTTCCGTCCCACTGGTGCTGCTCTAGGGCCCTGGGAGTACTTCACTCCAGGCTCCAGGACAGGGACCCTCCAGGAGGCACCTGCCCCCTTTGGCTTCCATCTCCTCCAGCCTTGCATTCTCCCTCCCTAAGTTAAGGCCAGTTTCTCATTTGCCCCAAGCTAGTCCCTGTGGTGATACTTTATTTGTGCACCCCAATAAAGCTTATCTGAGGATCAGAGGAAAAAGCCAGCCACTAGATTAAACAGAAGTCAGGCAATGGTGGCACATGCCTAAATCCTAGCACTTGAGAACTCTTGTCTTTGCTTGGGGTTAAAGGTGTGTGCCACCACGCCTGGCTCTGTTCCCAGTGTGGCCTTGAACTCACAGAGATCCAGACGGATCTCTGCCTCCTGATAGGATTAAGGGTGTGCCACCACTGTCTGGCCTCTATGTCTAATCCAGGGGCTGGCTCTGTCCTCTGATCCCCAGATAAGTTTTATTTGTTAGAGCACAAATAAACTACCACCCCAAGTCCCTGAGTTAGTGAGGGGTAATGGACAGGAAGTCTGATGCTGTGTTTCCCCCACCCCTCAGGCTCAGGTTCGTCCTCGATGTGGGCGCCTCGTGGCCTTCAGCTCTGGTGGTGAGAACCCCCACGGTGTGTGGGCTGTGACACGGGGACGCCGTTGTGCCCTAGCTCTGTGGCACACATGGGCGCCTGAGCACAGGGAGCAGGTGAGGAGGTGTGGGGTAGGAGGACATGAAGGGAGGGGGTCACTGCGGAAACTTGTGGAGCTGTTGGCTGGCCCAGGGAAGGTGGATGCCAAGCACTGAACCATAGCTTTATCCACCCCCAGGAGTGGGTAGAAGCCAAAGAGCTGCTGCAGGAGGAAGATGAAGAGGGGGAGGAGGAGGAAGAGGAGGAAGAGGAAGAAATTCTCAGCAGAGACCCTTCCCCAGAACCCCCAAGTCACAAGCTTCAGCGGGCCCAAGACAGGGCTGGGAAGCTACTCCGGGTCCGAGAAGAGCTGTGACTGGCTGAGCCAACTTCTTAGGGATATGGCCACTTGACTTGGGAAGGAACCAATGCGAAGGCCTGTGTGACATCAGGAACAGAGTAGCTTGCTCTGTCTCTTCCGTCTACCACCGTGGGGATCTACAAGGGCCACCAAGCCCTGGACTCACAAGCTTACTACACAGACTTAGACTAGAGCCCAACAGGCCCAGAAGCCAGATCTGGCCCAGGCTGAGGGACCTGCAGGGTCGCTAGGACAGACAAAGATCATTATGCCTCCCTGAAAGGCACGGCAAGGATTGAAGGTTAACTCCTAATGAGGAAGACCCAGAGGAGACAATGCCATCCTCTCCCAACCTGTGCAATAAAGAACATGACGATCCCCAGCCAGGGCCTGGTCTGGTCTAGCTCCGCTTCTGTGGCTGCTGGAGGTGGGGTGGCTAGGGGCTGGCCTGGGAGGAGACAGGTGGTGTCTTTGGGCCTCCCAGAGGCGGAGCCATGGGAGCCTGGGATTTGTCAGGGAAATCTCAGCCACCTGCTGTCTCATGCAAATAGACCCATGTGCCCATCACCACCACCACAGCTGCTCCTTGGGTCTTCAACTCTGTCATCTGTCAAGCCCTGTCATCTTTTCCTGAATATGGGTGAGAGGGTAGCCTGATCCCTCTGGCTCCTACCTTCACAGTCCAGTAAGACCCCAGGAATCATGTGAGAAAGCGTGAAGACAGGACTCCCCTCCCCCAGCCTAGAAGCAGGGTACAGGGTTCCGTTCTCTTTGTAGTCCTTTCTTTGCCCACAAGGCAGGGGCACATCAGCCCAGCTCCCCCCTGGATCAACTCCCCCAACTAGGATCAGGCCCAGGGGCAGCTGGTTGGGGCTGTTGGGGCTTGTCGAGAAAAAGGATTATCCAGATCAGCCCCTTCTAATCTCAGCTTCTGACTGTACCCTCTCCCCCCACAGCCCTCAAGGAGGGAACATGGCTTGGGGTGTTGACAACAGGGTCATCCATCGCCCGTCTGTCCTGGCTCCTGGCCCGCTTGCTGAACAGGTCTGCACTGCCAAGATCATGACCACAAGTTAGAGCTAGGGCCTGGGGGTCACTGGAGCTGTGTGTGGCTGCTCTTGTTCTGTTCCTCTCCCCAAACCCAACCAGTAATCCTCACAGCTTTGCTCTGATCTGTGGGCCTGATGCTCTTATCTCTGCTGGCAGACTGACCATAGAGTCTCCCCCTATTCCCCCCTTCTAGTGGCTGGATGGGGGGGGGGGTTACTGTTCTTCTCTGGCTCACAGGCCTGCTCCCCACCCCTCCAGGCTGGCCCAAGTCTCTGGAAGCCACACACCTCCCTCCCTGGCCTCTCCCCCACCCCCACCAGCTGATTTCATTTGCCTGACGTGGTTGGTGTTGGCCTTACCCTTCCCTGCCAGTCCCCCCTCCCAGTCGGGGCCAGGCCAGGCCAGCTCCTCTGGCAGCAGAGGGGCAGGTGACAGGCAGGCATCGCAGCTGAGAGAGTCAGGAGGCGCCTGGGAAGCGGAAACCTGGGAGAAGTCCAGCCAGAGCCCAAGTAAGAGGGAGCTGGCCGGCTCTGCCCTCTGGGATTGGGGGCCCACAGGGAGGGCTCAGGCAGGGCTGGGACTGATGCACAGGACCTAGCTCAGGAGGAAGGGGAGCCCCCTCACTTTTCAGGAGTCATGTAGGATGTAAAGGACAGCAACAGTGGTCTGATGGGGACTCCCCAACACCTATTCCGTGTTCCTGGCAGGAGCCAGAACTACCCCTCGACCTGGGCACCATGGGGGAGATGGAGCAGCTGAGACAGGAAGCGGAGCAGCTCAAGAAGCAGATTGCTGTAACCCCAGAGCCCTCATCCTGGGGACCCCGGAAAACAGAGCTCAAGACATGTGGGAGTGTGGCCTGGGAGGGGTTGGGGGGTTGGGCTCACTCTTGGGTGATTCAGAGACTTTAGATTTGGACCACCCCCCAACTGCAGAGCCCCATGCCCACTCATGTGTGCGGTGCATGTGTGTGCCCCCTACCCTACCACAGCCTCCTTGATGCCTGCTTTCCCCGCAGGATGCCAGGAAAGCCTGTGCCGACATCACCCTGGCTGAGGTGAGACTCTCTACCCCTCTGAAGCAGGACATGAGGGGAGGGGAGGGAGGGGACTGAATGAGTACTTCCTGACCAGCAACACACTGCTGCCTGAGCTTGTAGCACAGCCTGTCCTTAGAGTGAGGAAAGACACTCATGAATGAATTCAACAAACATCTATTAAGATCTGCTCTGGGTCGGGCATTATACTGGATGCTGAAGACAGAGACACTGGTCTTGTCCCTTTCATCCTTAGCAGTAAGGATGGAGGGGGTGTGCAGGATTTCTCATAGACTTGAATTGACGGTTGTCTAAGACTGCATTTCATCCATTCTAAAATGCTGTTTCTTCAGATTTCTCTAAAACTGAGCTGCATCTGACAATACATGACACCGTGTTAGCCTATTGTTTCTTTCTTGGTGATACACAAAATAATAGTGTTTCTAGAACCGACAGTAAGTACCAAGCCCTGCTGGGCGGCACAAGGCTTGGAATCCAGCTACATGGAAGGCTGAGGCAGGATTGAAAAGCCAAGACATGCCTGGGCTGCAGAGTGCTTTTAAGACCAGCCTGTCTCAAAATCAAAAGTAAAAAGTTGAGCTAGGAAAAAATTTTAAGAAGAAGACATGAAGTTGAGGCGGGGAGTAGGAGGTGAAGGGTCAATCTGGGAGGAGCTGGAAGTAGCGGTGAATGTGATCCAAATGCATTGCATGCATGTATGAAATTATCAAGTAGTTAATAGAAATACATTTTTAAGAAAGTAAAAAGGGTCTGGGGATATATTTCAGTGGGGGACTTCTGAGCTAGCACAGCTGAGGTCCTCGGTTCAATCCCCAGTACTGAGGGGGAAGGAAGAAAATAGAATCAATTATATTAAATATGTTCATAAGAGTAAACATCATGAGAAAGGTACTGTGCTAGATGCTTAAATACATAACTTTATATGATTCCCATGGCAACTCTGTAAGATAATAGGCTCATGGAAAGGTGTGATTTGCTGAAGTTGACAAGGTATGACAGACTTAATCTGTGGACTCTGTAGGCTTACCAACTGGGAGGGAGGCTGCTGTGGTTGAAGGGGTGGAGATCTGGAATTCAGCAGGGGTAGTCCCGGTGATGCCAATGCCTTGGAACCCATGGGTGTTGGCTATGTGTTACTGGTGTGTGAGGACAGGCACCGATCAGTCTCATGTCACCTGTGTCTCTCTTCCCAAGTTAATGACCAGTGACCTCATACCAACAGCTTGAGACTGACCAAGGTGGGAATATCTCCATGTTAGCCATTCCTCCCCCTCAATCTGGAGACACCGTGCCTAACACTTACCTCTGCTGTTGAGCAGCTTGCCAAAAGCTATGCCAGCACCTGTCTACCACAAGAGGCCCGCCTGGTCACTCCAGGCCAGGGACCTCTTTGATGCTGAGGAACCTGCTAAAGTGTCTGGTCGCTAGCTGGAGCTTGCACAGAGCAGGGGATGTGGCAGACACGTGAACCCCGACCCTCCTTTCTCTTGCAGCTTGTGTCTAGCCTAGAGGTGGTGGGACGAGTCCAGATGCGGACACGGAGGACATTAAGGGGACACCTGGCCAAGATCTATGCCATGCACTGGGCCACTGACTCTAAGTGAGGATTCGAAGGGGTCTAAAAGGGAGGGAGAGGCGGGGAAAAGAGGTAAGGATGACATAGATGCCCTTTCTCCAGGCTGCTGGTAAGTGCCTCGCAGGATGGGAAGCTGATCGTGTGGGACACTTACACCACTAACAAGGTACCAGCCCTTTCTATGACCATCCTCCAGGAAGGACCCTCCATCCTTCCTAGGGTTGCCACGCCCAATCTCTGTCCTGTTCACCTGAAGCTCAGGTCCTGCCTGCCCCAAATCTACCCTCTCTGCAGGTACATGCTATTCCACTGCGTTCCTCCTGGGTCATGACCTGTGCCTATGCACCATCAGGGAACTTTGTGGCATGTGGGGGGCTGGACAACATGTGTTCCATCTACAGCCTCAAATCCCGTGAGGGCAATGTTAAGGTCAGCCGGGAACTCTCGGCTCACACAGGTGAGAGGCCTCCTCTTTTCCTATGTAGGGGTCATGGAAGTCCAGGCCCCTGGCCAGTTATGACCCTGAGCCAGGGCACTGTCCTTCTAACCACCTCTAGGTTATCTCTCCTGTTGCCGCTTCCTGGATGACAACAACATTGTGACCAGCTCTGGAGACACCACGTGGTAAGGGTTGAATGCCATGGGTGCAGAGGATTGGAAGGTCGTCCTGTCCTGGGCAACTGTGACATTTCTCTGTGATGGGCTCCTTTTCTCCTGGCAGTGCCTTGTGGGACATTGAGACAGGACAGCAGAAGACGGTGTTTGTGGGGCACACTGGAGACTGTATGAGCCTGGCTGTATCTCCAGACTACAAACTTTTCATTTCGGGAGCTTGTGATGCCAGCGCAAAGCTCTGGGACGTGAGGGAAGGGACCTGCCGCCAGACTTTCACTGGCCATGAATCAGACATCAATGCGATCTGTGTGAGTGTCTCTTCATGTGTGCCCTTCAGGAACTCCCTTAAACCCTAACACACATCTCTGACCCACTTCCACAGCACCCCTAAGCCCTTTCCTTAGTCTTTTTTAAAAATAATTTTACCTTTATAGGAGTTTTAAAACCAATGACAAGAAATCCCATGTCTGCTTCACCCAGATTCACTGTGAACAGTTTGCCACATTTGCTTACCGTTGTCTCTAGACACACATGAGCACACACTCACTCACACTTGGATCCTCCCCTGTTCTCTGTGTGTCTGGTGTGAAGCACTGGAGACCCAACTCAGATCTTTCCACATGCAAGACAAATGCCCTATCAGCAAGCTGCACTCTAGGGCCTTATTCCTAGCTCCTTTGAGAGTATGTTACACATATCATGGCTCTGTGCCCCTTAAATACTTCTTAGAGGGTAGAAGAGGGTATTGGATTCCCTGGAACTGCTTCGTCAGTTATGAGCTGTCATGTATGTGGGTGCTGGGACCCAACGGAACTTGGGTCCTCTGCAAGAGCAAGTGTTCTTAGTTGCTAAGCCATCTTTTCAGCCCTAAGTAACAAGTTTAAAAAAAAAAAAATCCCCCTTAAGACAAGGAAGGTCTCATTATATAGCTCTAGCTAGGTTGGATTTGCTATGTAGACCAGGCTGGTCTCACACTCAGAGATCTGTCAGCCTCTACCTCCCAAGGGCTGGGATTAAAGGTGTGTGCCACCATGACATGCCCAATTTTTAATTTTTTAAAAAATTATCTTGAGTGTGTATAGTGCATGTGTGGGACTAGTCAGAAAACAGATTTGAGGAGTCTGTTCTTTCCTTCTACTGTGGGTTCTGGGGATTAACCTCAGGTCATCAGGCATCAGGCTTGTGTAGCAAGTCCTTTTACCCAACTGAGCCCTCTAGCCACCCCCAAATGTTAAATTAACTTTTTACTTTACTTTCCTTTTTTTTTTTTTTGAGTCAGGGTCTCTCTGTGTAGCTCTGGCTGTCTTAGAACTTACTCTGTAGACCACGCTGGCCTTGAACATACAGAGATAGCCTGCCTCTGCCTCCCCAGTGCTGGGATTAAAGGCCTGTGCCACCACGCCAATCCTACACATTTTATTTTTACCATGCTGGAGAATGAACCAAGGTTAGGCCTAGTGAGCTGTATATCCAGGCCTTTCTTTCAGCTTTTGAGACTGGGTTGGCAATGCTTTACCAGAGGCCACTTTATAACTCAGGCAGGCCTCAGGCTTACAATCTCCTCCCTCAGCCTTCAGAGTTCTAGGAACTCAACTTATATTTCTTGACAGTCTCACCCTGGAGCCCAGGCTAGCATTGAACTTGAGGCAATTCTCCTGCCTCAGCCTCCCAAGTGCTAAGATTACAGGTATAAGTGGCCATTCCCAGCTACAGTATAAGTTTTATGTATATGAGTGTTTTGCCTGCATGTATGTCTGTACACCACATACATGCCTGACACCTGTGGAGGTAAGGTGTCAGGTCCTCTGGAACTGGAGTTACAGATGGTTGTGAGCCACCATGTAGGTGTTGGGAAATGAACCTGGTCCTCTGCAAGAGCAATCAGTGCTCTTAAGTCCTGAGCTACCTCTCCAGCCCAGTATAATTTGTAAAATCCAGGAAATTCAACATTTACAGAATACTGTAGCTCATACTCAAATTTAACCAGTTATCTCATAAATGTCCTTATTAGCAATGTTTTTCTTCCCAGAACCTGGTCCAGAAACATGCATATCCTTGCCATGTCTTTTGTCTCTAGACTGGAACCATTTTTCTACTTTTCTGGGGTCTGTGGTATTACATCTTCTTGATAAGGGCACACCAGTTTTCTATAATTTCCCTCCAATATACCTGCTGTTCTTCATGATGACACTCAGGTTGTGCGCTTGGACCTCATGCTGTCCTCACACACCCTAGTGCCTAGGATCATCACAGAAGTCTGGTCTTCTAGTTGTGTGACCCAGGGGACCCTTGGTGCTCTTGCCTGTGACATGGCCATGACGCCTGTCTACAGCGCTGGAGTCAAGGGCAGAGGAAGCCACAAGAACACAGTGGTGAACAGTTATGCTGCACTGGCTGCCTCACCCTACCGAGAACCGGACAGGCAGAGAGGCTGAGAGAAGTAGCTCGCGCTCCCCTGGAAACCAGGATACAGGCAGGCAGGCAAGGCCGCCCCAGGTGAGCCCTGACCACCTCTTACCTGTGTTCTCAGTTCTTTCCCAATGGAGAGGCCATCTGCACTGGCTCAGATGATGCCTCCTGCCGTCTCTTTGACCTGAGGGCAGACCAGGAGCTGACTGCCTATTCCCATGAGAGCATTATCTGCGGCATCACATCAGTAGCCTTCTCGCTCAGTGGTCGCCTGCTCTTCGCAGGCTATGATGACTTCAACTGCAATGTCTGGGACTCTATGAAGTGTGAGCGTGTAGGTAAGGGTCTGGCCCAGACTCCCCAGCCCTCCTTCCTTCCCTCCCAGGTTCTTCATGGGGACCCCTTACTGTTGTTTCCTAACTGTTGCCTAACTGGCGCCTTGGAAACCAGCACCCTGTGCTTCTGAAACTGAGACCACATTCCCCAAACGCCAAGTGCTCTTTGCAGCCCTTCCTCTGCCCAGTGCCATGCCTGCTCCTTCTGGCCACCCCAAACCAGTGTATCTTAAATGCCCAGTCCTTTGGGGACCTGAGCTTCCAGGGCCATACACTTAAGGGACAGCCTCATGGAGGTGTGAATGAGTAGGCCAAGGGTCCTTGGCGTAGCCTAGGGGTTTGTCTAGGATTGGCATAGTCTAGAGTGGAAAGAGAGTCTGATTTCCATCAGGAGAGACCAAGAGATGAATGAAAATAAGACATACCCCAGAATCAGGCTCCAAAGCCTATCCGGTTGATTACTTTTTGAGTTTATATTATACATGTCACTTTTCTGGGCCTTGCTTTAAAAAAACAAAAACAAAAACCTAGAAACAAAGGACCACTTCCTCGGGCCCATCCAAGTGACCCTGGCCTTCCTCACAGCATACTGACATTCCTAACAGTTCACCCTCCCCCCACCAGGGACTCAAATTCTGGACCAAGGAATTGGCCTGATGATAAATCCCTTTCCTCAGGGCTAATTCTCCTTCAGTTCCTTAGTCTCCATCAGGGCAGAGTCTAGCCTCCCCAGGCTGGGGCTTCTGTACATCATGGGCCCTCCTCACACACTGGGGAAAGGAGGCTGACTTTTCCCTCTCTTCCTCAGGCATACTCTCTGGCCATGACAACAGAGTCAGCTGCCTGGGGGTCACAGCTGATGGCATGGCTGTGGCCACTGGTTCCTGGGACAGCTTCCTCAAAATCTGGAACTAAGGAGGCTAGAGGAAGAGAGGCGGGAAGCCATGAAGATTCTCAGCTGCTTCCTCCTATCCCCATCCCTTTAGGGTCAGTCTTCTATAGCCCAGGGGCCATTCCCAGTCAACTTCCTTTGGAGAGCAGTAGGGATTATGGGAGTGTGCCTTTGGAAGCATCAGGGACACAAGGGCAAAGAACTGCCCCACTTCCTCTTGTGGCCTCCCCTTTCCACAGTCCTCACAGCTTCCCTTAATAAACAAGAACAGACCCTCCCTCAGCCCCTAGAGTCCTCCTGAGCTACCAGCAGCCTTTGCCCAGACCTGGAACGGCCAGGGTGCTCAGCTCATGATTCTGGGATGTCACTACTAGTCTCCTGGCCCTGCATACTTTCTCCTTTTCTACCCTTTCCTCCCCTCTATTATTACCTAATAAAATGTAACATCCTGTGATGCCAGCTTCCACCCTCTTTGTGCTACAAGACGACCTAGGTCCTGTTAACGGGCAACAAGATATTACAGGTACTAGGATGAAGGCTGCGTACTAGGTAGATTGTGGGCAGGAAAAAGGATCAAGGCAGAAGCCGAGGTTTCCTGAAGAGGCTGAGTGGCCAGGAGGCACACAGCAGCTGGCTACAGATCACAGTCATGTGTGCATGCCTGCATAGGAGTTGATATAAAGGCCTTGGAGGCCATTAAAGAGTTCCAAGTGAGGCACTACCATGATCATTAAGCTTGTCAGGCAGACAGCTCTGCCAACAGTTTAGGGTGCTGAAATGGAGAGAGAGACTGGCCCTCTAGAGATAAGATGTGAGGCAGGCGGTAAGAAATGCAAGGATGACAGGACCGGGCTGAGTGTGAGGCTCAGTAACGGAGCATTTGCCTAACACGAGCAAAGCTCTGGGTCAGTCTCCAGCAACACACACACACACACACACACACACACACACACACACACACACACACACACAAAACAGGAGAAGAGATTAAAAACGTAGAATCACCAAGACCTAGTGACCATACTCACACACACACACGTCATTCTAAACAGAAGAATTCAATATGATGACCGAGGCCAAGATTAATGTTCGGGCAGGAAGGTGGGTGATGGCCCTTCCTATCCACAAGGGTAGGGAATAGGCAATGAGGAAAAACTTTAGGGAAAGATCATACATTTTATTTTAAGGGAACTAACGTTGAGTGCTTATGTGGCAGGTGAATAAAAGTTAGGGTGAGAGAGGGACCTGAAAGTTCTCAAAAGCAGGTAATAGCTCAGCCCAAACAAAAGGGGAAGAGGAGAGAGGGGCCAAGGCAAAGCCTTGGGGAACATCAAAACGTACGGCATAGAAAAGAGGCTCAGGAGTGACAGCAGAGAGATAAACCCGGGGCCCACAGACCCCCGGGCTGCCATTCTCCACACAAAAGACCCAGTGCAGCTTTGTCTAATTTCCTAAAGCATTATTTAAAATCATCTCCTTTACTGTACAAGAAACACACAAAACAAAACACAAAAGGTCCAAGTACCAGAGGTGGTAGCCTGGGAGGAACCAGAAAACAAGACTTTCCTCAGTGCCCTTGGGGAAGGGGCGAAGAACACAGACTATCACCAGGATCTGGGTGAACCCAGCATGGACCTAGCTCTCCATCAAAGCAAAATGCTGATTTTCCTTGTCATGGTCCTGGCTTTGCTCCCATGCTCCTCCTCCTCCAGTTTTCAGAAATCTTCCAGTTCCAAGAACGACTCCTTCCTTTAGGTCCTTAACATTTTCACTTAGAGGAGAAGGCCGCTTACCCTGCAAAAGGCGGTATGTGAGCCGAGTGGCCGGAGGGACGTTAAGGAGGTAAGAGCTGGGGAAAAGGGTCTCCCACTATAACGATGGATACTCTTGGTGAATTTTCACCCTCTCTTTCTTTACCTGCCGTAATGTCAGAGTCCCAGGGGAGTTGTCATCCTGCAGGATGGTGAGAGGAGATCTCCCAAGCACCTTGCTGTTTGCTTTCCGTCTAGTGCGCTTAGAACCTAGGGGAAGAAAGGTTTTGTCAAAGGAAGGACTCAGAGTGGAGGCTTAGTTTATTCTTCCTACATTAGCCCAGGACATGATCCCAGCTTCTCTTCCCTCCATCTTGCTCTTCAATTTTGTACCTGAAGACTGGGGAGTCTCAGGATCTTTTGAGGGCTTCTCCAAGTTCTGGCTGGCAATTATGGTTTCTGTGGATTGTTTAGCTTCCTCCTTGGTAAACTCCTGTTTGGAGGGGAGTTCAGTCTGGCTCCAAGGCAGCAACGGGTCCTCAAGGGATAACTGAGTATCCAAAGGCAGGTCCAGTTCAGAAGACAGAGGTGTTTGCTGGGGCAGAGGAAGCTCTGGCGGGGAAATGGATCTGGAGGCTTCAGTCTCAAAAGCCTCACTCAGCTCTTTCACCAGTGGACTCTGAGGGTCTGGAGGGAAGAAGGGAAACAAGCCGTGGTCTTCTGATACGAACCAAGGAGGAAAAGAGAGAGGAGCATCGGGACTCATGTTCAGATGGGCACAGGGTGAGGAGAGTGAAACCGAGGGGGAGAAAACAAGCTGTGGAGAAGACTGAGAGGAGAGCTGGGGTGCAGCTCAGTGGCAGAGTGTGAACACAGGAGGAGGACTGGGCCCCTGGGGGGTGGCGCACGCCTTTAGGCCCAGTACTTGGGAGGCAGAGGCAGGTGGGTCTCAGTGAGTTCAAGGTTAGCCTGCTCTACAGAGTGAGTTCCAGGACAGACAGGACTGTTACACAGAGAAACCCTGTCTCAAAAAGTCAATCCCCGCCCCCCCCTCCCCCCGAAAAAAAAACAAACAAACAAACAAAAAACCTGAGGAGAGCTGGGCTTCACCCAGCTGGGCTAGGGGAGCTGAGCATGGAAATACATGCCTGTAATTCTAGCACTCACAATGCTAAAGTAGGACCGCCTCAGATTCCTGACCAGCCAGGGCTACAATGTGAGACCTCGCCAAAAAAAAAAAAAAAATAGCTGGGCAGTGGTGGTGCACACCTTTGGTCCCAGTACTCGGAGGCAGAGGTAGTTGGAGCTCTATGATTTCGAGGCCAGCCTGGTCTACAAAGTGAGTTCCAGGACAACCAGGGCTGTTACACAGAGAAACCCTGTCTCTGAGAAGGAAAAAAAAAAAGAGAGAGAGAAAGAAAAAAAAAAAGGCCAGCTTAGTGGATAAAGGAGCGTGTTGCCAAGCCTGATGACCTGAACTGAATCCCTAGAAGCTCCATGGCAGAGGGGAGCACTGACTCCCTAAAGTTGGCCTCTGACCGTCACACATTAACTGTGCCAGGTGTGTGTCCACACACATAAAATAAATGTAAAAAAAATTTCCTTTTATGTGAGAGGGGTCCGAAATGGGAGGCTGGAGCCCCAGAGCCCCAAAAGCAGCAAATAAAAAACAGTCAAAGGGAAATGGTTTTGATGCCACCCTAGACAGGTGTCAGCTCCGTCAGCCCCCCTGGACCCATCCATCACTTACCTGTACCACCTATCTTCATGGGTGTCCGTGCAATACCAAGAGTAGGAGAGCGGGGGTCTGGGTCTTGCGCTTGTTTGGGACTGTTCAGCTGTTCTGTTGGCAGGCTTGGCTGTGGAGAGCTCTCCACCTGTCAACACCGTAAGTTAGCACAGGTCTGGGCCCTGGTCTCTGTTTCCTCCCCATATTCCCAGTCAGAACTGCTAATGCCCATGGATATGCAGCCTGCCAGGTGCACATTAAGAATGCGGAAAGTTGCTAGGCATGGTAGTGGCACACGCCTTTTATCCCAGCATTTGGAAGGTAGGTCGGATCTCTGGGAGTTTGAGGCTAGCCTGGTCTACATGGTGAGTCCCAAACTAGCCAGGGCTTCACAGTGAGACCCTGTGTAAACAAAACAAAACAAAACAAAACAAAACACCAGAGAGTCAGTTAATGAAAAAGAGACCATGAATCTGAAAGACAGCAAGGAGGGCTATATGGGAGGGTTTGGAGGGAGGAAAGGGAAGACAGAAATGATATTGTATCAGAACCTAAAAAAACACAAAAGATAATAAAAAGGTGCACAAGTAAGGTTCCAGTGGCAGCGGGACAAGGACTCAGAAACCAGCTAGCCAGAGGCCCACCAATCAGGACCGCTTCTCTGCATTCCCCACCCCAGGCCCGCGTACCTGAATAGGGGTGCGCTGGATACCAGCACTGGGTGAACGTGGGTCCGCCACCCGGGCCAGATGCTTGTTGTGTGGCAGAGGCCGCGCTGGAGTGCCTGAGATGCTCTGAGTAGAACCCATCTCCACTAGGGGTGGCAACGGGGCCCGGCTGTGCAGATGCAGAGGAAGAGACGCCCGTCAGGAGCGACCCGGGTCGGACCCCGGACCCACCCGATCCTCCCAGTTTCCAGCAGAGGAACCTCAGGCTCCGTGGCCCCGAGACCTCTGACGGGGATAGGGAGCGGAACTTTCCAGCGGCGCATTCAGGTCTGCGGGGCCCTCGGATGTGCCCACTAATTTATCCGCATCACTTACGGGGGCCCCAGGTCGACCTCTGGGAGAACACCACCAGCTCGAGCCACAACTCCCGGAGTTTCAAACTTCCCGCCACGCCCCTGCCTCGATCCTATTGGCTGGGCCGAAGCCGACGCTCATAGGCCAGGTGTGGGAAACGCGCCCTCCAGGCCAGAAGGCTATTGGTCTAGAGGATGTCAATCATGAGGACTGGCCAATGGGCTGAGGACCAGCTTGCCCTGGGGTGGTGCTTCGGTGAGCCGGTGACTTTTGTTCAGTGTCGGCGTGAGACCTTGAGCGCGGCTCGGCTTTTCGGTTTTAGTAAAATAGGACGAGTTATGACGCTGTGTGCACAAAACTGGCTGGAGGCGGAGTTAGGGCGGTTCGCCTACGGCGAGACAGCAATCCTTATTGGTTGACGAAGTTATCACTCACGTCTCTCAAAGTCCGCCCCATTGGCTACTGCTTTTCAAATACCAAGAAGACAAGTGGCCGTCTGCTTTCCGATTGGACGAGCCCCTGACGACGTTTCAGTAACTCATGGGTTTAAACAACCCCCAGTTTGTGCATCTTCACGTAAAGCACTCTCCTCGAGTCCTTGAATCAGAGGCGCCGCTACTGCGCGCCCTCCTGGCGCCTCCACCGGCGCGCCTGCCCTGGGAGAGCGCGATTGGTCCTTCCGGCCATCAGTTGTGCCAGGAGAGCTTTTCATTGGTGTTCGCTGAGTGGGGCGGGGGGCGGGGCACCGGGCGGCAGGCTGAGTCCAACTGCCGTTCTCGCGTGTCTTGCCTTTAGCGCATGCGCCTAGCGAGCCGCGCTCATTGGACGCGAGAGCAGGAGTGGGGGGGACCAGGGACAGTGGGAGCTGCTGTGTGAGGAGGAGCTGCTGCCGGTGTCATGGCGGAGCTGAGTGAGGAGGCGCTGCTGTCAGTGTTACCGACGATCCGTGTCCCCAAGGCGGGAGACCGGGTCCACAAAGACGAGTGCGCGTTCTCCTTCGACACGCCGGTAAGCCCCTTCCCCACGCCCGCGGCGACCACGACTTCCTTCCATCGCCCTGGTCATTCGGCCAGGCCTGCAAGCCTGGGGCTACCGCCTCCTCGCGATGCACCCTGGGACTTGTAGTTTTCCCCGCGACGCTCTGCTTTTGCTTTCCATTATCTGGAGCTGTGGTGTGACTACCACTCCCGGGAGGTACCGCTCTCGCCTTGCCCATGCCTGGTCTCGTGAAGCATTATGGGCATTGTAGTTGCCCCTGTCCCTCGTTACCATTCTAAGATAGAGGTGGAACCTGATCGGTGGACTACATCCCCCAAGCGACGCCCAGAAAAGAGGCCTGGAGGTGGCCTGGCATGTGGCGCAGGGCTCTCCGGGTTTTGTAGTTTCATGTGGGAGGACTAGGGGCGACTCCCCACTGTTCTGGGCAGGGGTTGAGGTTGGGAAGGGATGGCCTTCAGCCTCTAGTTCTGGAAGAGGGCTGTGAAGAAGGCCAGTTTGGCGAAAACTGAGTTAAGCATCCTCCATTCGTGGTCAATTTGGACAGGGGATGGGGAGGTGGGTCATTGGTAAGGAGGAGGAAAAACACCCAGTGGAAAGCTCTAGTCGTTTCTTCCTTGAAGTGGATTATGGCCGCGCCCCCCTCCCTTTTCCTCTGTCCTTCACAGGTTGCCCAGACAACCCCTTGTCAAGTATTCCGAGAGAGGGTTTCTTTCCCGGGAGGATGCTAAGGCCCCTTTACCATCTTTCTCCCACTCTGGTCTAGTTAGACAAAGCCGCCACCCACACCGTGCTTCACGTTTTGCAGGCTCCACCTGGTACCTCCCTTCCTGCAGTTCTGCCTTCCTATGTCATCCGCAGCTGGAGACAAGCCTCCAGCCCAAACCGAAAGGGCTGCAGTGTGGTTGGGATCCGCCCCTCTCGCCACCCCTCCCCTCAAGCGGCTGTTGGTCCCTGCCCAGGGCGTTCAGCTAGACCAGCTCATGGCCTGAAAACTGCAAGTCAGAGTGGAAAGGCTTCATTAATGCGTCCCGAGGGCTGAGTAGAGCAGCATGATGTGATGCCCACCCCAGGACCAGTACTGTGATTTGTGGTTTGCTTGCTTTGCCGGGCTTTGCCCTGAGGCCCAGATAATGCTCTGCTTCTCTCAAGTTGGCCGTGGTAGAAATAAAGGAAGACTGCTGGCCTAGAGCATCAGGGTTTTCAATCCGAGCAGAAACCAGAACCTTTTATTTTCATCTGAAGTCACTTGAGTGCACACCTCCCTCCCAGGAGGGAAAGACAGACATCCGTGTGTCTGTCTTTATGCTGAAAACAACTTAAAAGTTGTTCCTGTCTCCTCCATAGTAACTACTTTAAATGACCCAGAAAAGGTGAGGTTTTGGTTTTGTTTGTTTGTTTTGTAATTTTCCAACACATTCCCTTTTTTCATTCTAAGGCAAGAAATCTCCAGTGTAGCCTACTTGATTTAGTAACAAACTCAAGTACATCAGATCATCTTCTGATTCTTTTTCTGGAAGAAAGGGAGTGTAGCTGACCTTTGTGGTGAGAAATACTTTATGCATGAACATTGCGGCCTACACTATTCTAGGGAGTGATACAGTGCAATTTACTGGTCCACTAACTATCTTAGATGGTGTCCTCATTTTACTGCCACAGTGGGGAATTTTCAAGGCCACTGAGACTTTTATTCCAGGAAAAGGGTGCCTATTGCTCAAAGCCTTGGATCTGAGACCAGACTCCGTTTTTCAGTTTCCCCTCCCACTTTTCTGTCGCTCTTCTGAAGGCACTGGCAGACTGGCTTGGCCTTGGGGAGGATTCAGGGTGGGCAGTTGTCTTCCCTGTTCATGAGTTTGTGTCGTCTAGCTGTCTCAGTGGGGTGTGGTGGTAACACACCTGTAACCTCAGCCAGCCCTGGGAGGCTGAGGCAGAGCAGAAGTTTGGGTCATCCCAGGCTACATAGTGAGTTCCAGGCTAGCCTAGGTTACACAAGGAGATCATGTCTCAAAAATAAACAAAGGTAAATAAAAAGGGACTAGCTTTGAGGTTTCAGGTTGATGGGGCATCAGTGGGGGGTCTTACAGGGGAAAGGGATGAGGTAGGGTAGCTAGTGGCTGTAAAATGATGGACTTCATGACCTTACTAATCCATGTTCAGGTTTAGTTGTGAGTCCCAGACAAGGTATTTTCCTCTAAAGCCAGGGTTTTCTTGTAGTAGAAAAGTGGCAAAGGAAAGGCTGACTGCTGTCAAGCTCGGGGATAGATGGGCAGCTTGGTACTGCGTTCTCTGCCCCTCTGGTGTAGGTCTGTCTGGTTGGTGATGGCTTTAAAAGTGTAGGCCTTTTTTCTCCCAGGAAAGACTTCTTTTTCTTTCTAAATGTAAGCCCTGACACTGCCAGCCCCATTTACTTTCTGGATCTCCTGAGCCAAAGAAGAGGCGAAGGAACCTTCTGTGGTTGATTGGTGAGCATTGAAACCCACGCAAAGAATGAACAAGAGGAGGATTGGTGACTGAGAGGTCTTGTTCAGCTACCTCATGAGCTTGTTGGCTGTTTTCAAATTCATAGAGGATTCTGGGAGAACTTTAGCCATATAGCATGTCCCGGCAGGCTAGATAAGTTGCTAAGGGCCACACAGTGTTAGGAAACCATCAGTTTCTGCCCCTTGGTCCTTGGTTTCCCCATATGTCCAAACTCCATCCTTCTTGTGTTTCCCTATTTGTGTTGTGCCCTGCAGGAGTCTGAGGGTGGCCTCTACATCTGCATGAACACATTCCTGGGCTTTGGGAAACAGTATGTGGAGAGACATTTCAACAAGACAGGCCAGCGCGTCTACTTGCACCTCCGGAGGACCCGGCGACTGGTAGGCACAGTGGCTGTGGTGTGGGCTTGAAACATCCAGGCACACTCCACAAAGTGCCTGTTTTGTATGTCTGTTCCCTAAGTTAGGGTTAGTACTGCTGTGAAGAGACACTGCGACCGAAAGCGAACTGGGGAGGACTCTTCCACACTGTAGTCCTTCCTTGAAGGAAGTCCGGACAGGAACTCAAGCAGGGGAGGAACCTGGAGGCAGGACATGATGCAGAGGCCATGGAGGGGAGCTGCCTACTGACTGGCTCAATCTGCTTTCTTTTAGAACCCAGGGCTACCAGCCCAGGGGTGGCACCCACAGTGGGTTGGCTGGACCCTCCCATATCAATCATTAGTTAAGAAAATTCCCTTACAGCAGTGGTTCTCAACCTTCCTAATGCTGCAGCCCGTTAATACAGCTCCTCCTGCTGTGGTGACCCCCAACCATAAAATCATTTTCATTGCTACTTCATACCTGTAGTTTTGCTACTGTTTTGAATCGTAATGTAAATATCTGATTTAAAGGAGACCTGCTATGCCACCCCTGTGAAGGGCCGTTTGACCCCCACCATCACCAAAGGGGTCATAGCCCACAGGTTGAGAACTGCTGCCCTCCTTCTAGGCTTGCCTGCAGCCCGATCTTCCAGAGGCGTTTCCTCAGCTGAGGCTCCTCCTCTCTGACACTCCAGCTCACCTCCGTCTCCCCTGGTGTCCTTTGCTTTTCTTTCACCTGCTCTCCTTTGTGTCACTGAAACTTGCCACAGTTGTGTCTTTATCTTCATTCCATTGTACAGTTAACCATTCTTTTCCTTCATCTTCTTCTTTTGTTCTGACCCTGGGGCTCAGGGCTGCTCCTGACCCTCCTTTTTTCTTTGTTTTGTTTTGATTTTTGTCTTTTTGAGACAGGGTTTTACTTTGTAGCCTCAGCTAGCCTGGAGCCCATAGAGATCCTTCCTCTGCCTCCTGAATGCTAGGACAAGGTCACGCGCCATCACACCTGGCCCTCTGAACCTCTTTTCATTGCAGAAAGAAGAGGACACTAGTGCAGGCACTGGGGACCCACCTCGGAAGAAGCCCACCCGGCTGGCAATTGGTGAGCTACCTGCTAGGAGAACCCTGAGCCTGATAGTGGCCTTAGAGCTCCTGAGGGGACACATTGGAGGAGAGCCAGTGACCAATGGTAGTTGTCCTCCTTTCTTCCTTCTTCCCTGTCATAACCAGGTGTTGAAGGTGGGTTTGACCTCACCGAGGAGAAGTTTGAATATGACGAGGACGTGAAGATTGTCATTTTGCCAGATTACCTGGAGATCGCCCGGGATGGGTTGGGGGGGCTTCCCGACATTGTCAGAGATCGGGTATGAAAATCTTACCACCCTATCCAGAGATTCTAGGACTGGAGGGGCTGCTGTGGTCGTGGCTTGGACAGCACTAACCAAACTGGAGACCGAGGGTGGAAAGGGCGTGTGGGGCAGGGGTTGGGTCCTGGCTGACTGTGCTCCCTCCAGGTGACCAGTGCGGTGGAAGCCCTGCTCTCGGCTGATTCGGCCTCCCGCAAGCAGGAGGTGCAGGCTTGGGACGGAGAAGTCCGTCAGGTGTCTAAGCATGCCTTCAACCTCAAGCAGCTGGACAACCCTGCGCGGATCCCTCCCTGGTGAGGCCTGGCTCCTCCCATCTCTGGGCACAACCCCTAGAGCAAGGGTAGAGGTCAGGTACCCTTGTACTGGAGCTGGTGAGAGAGAGGGTGGGGAGCAAGACCAGAAAGAAGATGTGGGGAAGGTGAACAGTGCGGGAACAGCCAGAAGAGGAGAATGGGTCTTGGACTGGCTGCGGCCTGCAGAG